CATCCAAGTTTTCTTTGATTCCATACGAGAAGTGCGACGTGATGGGAGGGATTTTTTACTGGCGAGCCAAGGGAGATGCTGTGGCTGCTTACGATCCTGGAATGGGAAAAAATCATGTATGGTTGATGAGATTTCCGACTACTGGTTTGAATGGGATGGTTAGAGCTATGCGGGGCTGACACATGATGGGTTGTTGCAGTGTGCACTCTCAGATCCTGATGGAATAGAGGTCTGGGTTTTGAAGAAGAAGACATCGCAGTATAGTCTTTCCAGCATTATACCTCGCACCGAATGGGTCTTAACATATGCTTTGAACCCTGAAGACTTCTTGTTGCCGGTTTCAGACACCAAAAGCGTCAAACTGGGGAGTTTTTCTGTCAGCAACCTCCTCCTCCTGGTTTTCCACAACGTCCTTTTATGTCAGGTTTCCATCCTCAAGATTCACGGATTGTCTATCTTCGACTGGATATTGTGATCTTCAGCTACAATTTAGAGACTAAACTCCTAGACGTTGTTCATTACCATGGAACCAGTTATCCAAGCTGTTTTTACGACTTATTCCCTTATGTCCAGCCTCTTTGGCCTCCTTATTTACCTCATTTACCATTCCAATCATGTCCCATTCAATTTGGATCATCCGTGCAACCACCTGCAGAACCAGCAGGCATCCCTTTCGTGGCTTTAATTTGAGATCTCAAGATATTGACCACCGAAATCCTGTGTTCCAAACTATCGTTACCGTCTAATTTTCATTTATTGAAAATACATATTTATATTGGCTTTTCTTTTATATGCAGTATTAAATTTCACTCTATGTTTTTGGGCAGTCTTGATCTTTATCGCAGTTTTTGAACATAAAGTTTATTTTCTAATCAAGAAAATTGATATGATGTCCAGTATTACTTGTAGATTGATGCGTTCAGCAGGGAACTTTTTGTTCCCAAGTAATCTCTGTTCAAATGCAGTGCACCATTCCATGACCAGATAGACTTAATCTGGTACTGTATATTCAAAACTCCCGATTGAATCGTCTATTGCACATAATGCAGATCTTGTGCATCTAAAGGGTTAGAAAAATGAAGTGTCTATTGCATATTAAGCTACTCATGTCTGTTTAAAGGGTTAGATAATGAAAAGAAATAATGTAGTATACGATTATCTTTCATAAAAATCACTGTGGCGGCAGGAAAGGCTAGTATATAATTCTTCTACTGTACTACAAAACTAAAAGTTCCCAGAGGGGGCTGAAATTTACTCAAGGTAATGACAAAATAGATTTTCCTTGATTTGAATTCTTGGCCAAAGCAGGTAGCTCGTGAATGGGACAGTAAAATGAATCACAACTTGTTGAATTAAAATGAGATGATTATTATCAAGTTGTTGAGAGGTAAAAACATACTGTTTTCATTGATGGTCTCCTAGAGGATGAATGCACGAGGCAGAGGAGTGCTGCAATCATCATTGCCTTCATCTCGTATTTGTTGCAGTCTTCGTTCAGGTGAGGATCTACTAGACGCTCACACGGGCCAAAGCTGAGTAGAGACCTTGCCTGCAATTCAATTGGCGTAGATGATTCAACTTTGAATTAGAAAGACTTGTATTATGTGTTGAGATAAAAAAAAAAATTTCTTTGTAATTCTTACCCAAAGAACTAAGCTTTCATGACTAAATGACTGGTTTGTTTGGATAGCCTCTTCTCCAGTGATCAGTTCCACAATATCCTTACTCCACAATATCCGATCGTTTGGCAGAAAGGAAACGAAAAGAGGAAAATAGAAAAGAGAACTCAACAAAATCAAATGGATCGAACTAGATAAATTGGAACATAAAGCCAGATTAAATGCATACACCTTAAAATGAAATGCATCTAGACTTCAACTTTGAATATCTACATAGTCAAACTTCATCTTCAACTTTTCAATATTAGAACAGCCAAAGTTAGCAACAACAGAAAGCTGAAGCCAAAGTTGGTTGAATTTTCCAATTGTCAGTAGGCCTAAAGGTAAGAGAGCTGAAATGCAAGCATATATTCCACAAGGATTGCCTCGACAGGTAGCTACAGAATGATCAGAGCTGGCTGTTATATTATGGATTGCACAGCATGGCAGTCAAAGACCTGGGTTCTAGTCGAGATTGATAGATTAAAGACCACTCTCCATATAAGTTCAGCGAAATTTGTGGCATAATAAATCCATGTCACATACGTTCTTCCATTGTTTTTGTGGTTCTCTCTTCCCACAAGCTTGCTGGCACACTACAATTTAAGGCATAATGGTATAATGCATGTTCTTACATGTTCAGAAGTTGGTAAATTTTCATTCAGTTGAAGGTTTAGGCTCTGGGAATATGTTTAGAACAAACTACAAGATCAAATCCAAAGCATAGAAACAGATATGGAAATGGCATCTCCAATGTACAATAACTATTTATAAACAAATTCTTGAACTGATGCCTGTATATTTCTTGATTACCATGGCTATGCAATAACTCCATGCTTCAAGTTCTGATCCTAGCACTTTTTGAAATTCTGTAATGATTGTAATGTTAAAAGATTGCCAAGAACGAATTTTGTTCAAATCACCCTGACGGAACCAAGCTGGACCCATTTTTCCTTCCTTTCTTTCTTTCTGATCTTGTATAGGACTTGTCAGATAGGGTTAGACAAGCTGAGGCCTGACAGGAAGTTTCCAAAAATTTCAATCACTTAGAGCACTCAGCTTCATATATTTCAAATGTGATTTACATTTTTCAGAGATCATTCCACAATGTAGAAAATGTAGCTACAATCTGGATGGCCATCTACATTTTCATTCATAATTTCATATCCATAACTAGAACAAAGATCAACTTAAGTAAAGGCAATGCTCAGACGAAGCTTCTATGCTCCATTCAAAATCTCCACACGCACAAATAACTGTTGCAAGGATGTAATCATCCACCTCAATACCTTCTGCTTGCATTCGGTACATGAGCTTCAAAGCCTCCCCACAGAGCCCATTCTTTGCATATCCCACAATCATAGCTTTCCAAGAAACCAAATTCCGTTCTGGCATGCTATCAAAAACTTGGGTTGCCTCCAAAACATATCCGCATCTAGCATACATGTTAATTAAAGAGCTGCCCACAAACACATTAGACAAGGCAGGGGTCTTGTTTATGGAGGAGTGAATCAACCTCCCCTGCTGAATATCTTCTAGTTTAGCACATGCCCTCAAAGCTGATGAATAAGTGAAAGGGTTTGGGTCCACACCTTCCCCCAACATCTCTTTTAAGAATCCAAGAGCCTCATACTCATGCCCCAGTTGAGCACATCCAGAAATCATTGCAGTCCATAAAACAACATCTCTTAGGGAAATCTCTTGGAGGACCTTGGATGCAGTAGAGTACTCTCCACATTTGCAATAATGCCACACGAGAGTGCTTCCTATGTGGATATTGCTTTGACCATAATTTTTGATTATCTGTGCATGTACTTCCTTTCCTGTCGACAAAGCCCTAATCAATCCACATGCCCTAAGGATGCTTACCATGGTCAATTTGTTAGAGAATACTTTTCGTCTTCTCATTACTCGAAAAAGTCTTATGGCTTCTTCACCAAAACCATTCCGAGCATACCCTGCTATGATAGAAGTCCATGTAACTGTGTTCCTCTTCCTCATTCCATCAAACACTGTCTTAGAATCCTCTATTTCTCCACATTTCGCATACATATCCACTAGCGCTGTCCCTAAGAAAATATCATTTGTAAATATCTTCTTAACTATGGCCCCATGCAATTGTCTTCCAACCTTCAATGCCTTCTCCTCCCCACAAACCTTCAGAACACTAGACACTGTAAACTCATTAGGGGCACATCCATCAGATAGCATTTGTGAAAACATCACAGAAGCCTCCTCGCCCCAACCATTTTGCGAGCAAGCAGTGATCATAGTCGTCCAACAGACTACATCCCGATCTCTCATCCTATCAAATATACGGAACGCACCCATCAAGTCACCACACTGCGCATAAAAATACACTATGGCGCTATCTGTAATCAAATTACTCGTATTATTTTTTATTACACATGCATGAATTTGCTTCCCAAGGTCCAAATCCACTCTCCTACTGCACAAACTCAAAACGCACACAAAGGTCTTAGAATTTGGCCGAATCCCATTTCCAACAAAATCAGAGAACAACTTCAAAGCTTCATTTTCTAACCCAAAAATCAAATACCCATTAAGCATAGCAGTCCAAGAAACAACATTACTTTTCAACATTTTATCAAACACCTTCCGAGCGTCAACTAACTTACCAAATTTCAAATACCCAGAAATCAAATTATTATAAAGAAATGTGTTCGAGTCTTTCAAACACTTAATAATAACTGCATGTATTCTTCTAACTTGTAATATAGTACAAGAAGACTGGAGCTGAGCAGCAAAATCCTTCGCGTTCACCAGGTGTTCGTTTAATGATACACCCAACGAAGTGGCATTATTGGCATTTGGGTTCTCTCGGGACGTGGAGATATTATGAGAATTGGCAGAAGTAATTGAAAATAATGAGTACTTGGAAGAAAAACATGAAAAAGGGAGGGTATGCTTAGATTCATTATTATCTGCTTCTCGAAAGTAATTTTCTTGTTTTGGTGATTGAGTTGGTTTGATATCAAACAGGGAAGGGGGTCGAAATAGAGTGAGATTTGGTGAGAGAAATGTTAGTGAGAGCATTTGCCTTGATTGTTTCGGAGATGGGAGTTCCCACGAAAATTTTCAGTTTCAGAAGGCTTTTGCTCTCTGCCACGCTCAAGTTGAGGTTGCCGTTGGCGAACGCCGATGATTTTTACTTGGGTTAATCTCATTTTATACCCTGAAAAATTGTTCGAATTTTAATTTATACCCTCAAAGATCAAAAATCTTAATTTATACCCTCAAAGATAGAAATTTGTATCAATGTGCACCCCAAAGATCAAAAATCTCAATTTACACCCTCAAAGATAGAAATTTATATCAATGTGCACCGCAAAGATAAAAAATCTCAATTTACACCCTCAAAAATAGAAATTTGTATCAATGTGCACCTAAAAATTAAATTGATAAATTATACCTAGATCCCCTTATACTTGTCACTTAATCATTTAGACCTCTTCACATTTAAATATTATTACTCCTACATCTTATGACATTTGTGCACGTATAACACGTAACCCATTTTCATTGATATCTATTAATATAACCGTTAAAAAATATAATTTTATCCTAATAAAAAATTATAATTTCATATTACCCTTTATTTTATGGGTTTAATATATTCTAAAATTCAAAATCTAGTTTACCATTTGAATGTCTAATAAAATGTAAATATTTATATAATGTTTTTCATATTACCTAAAATATAATAAATTATTTTAGGACGTCCTTCACTTTGTAGCCATTGTCTTCTATTTCTTTGCTTTTGGCTTATATTTTACACCTTTTTAAGTTTATATTTCACTTTTAATTGGTCATTCAACTATTAATTAGAAATGAAGTCCAACTTTAAATCTATGGCGATTAAATCCTTGGAGTAAACTACGATACATCCAACACACTTTTTGGTATGAAACCCAAAATCTTTGGCGACAAAATGCTGGAAAAAATACTACAGAATGATACATAAATGAACATATATAAAACATACTCTTTGAAAATTTTTTTTTTGAAGGATACATTGATCAATGGCTCATTTTTGTTGTTAGATGAATCTACGGTTGATATTAGTTTTTTGGTACCGTATCAAAAAATCAAAAGGTTGTATCGTAGTCTAGTCCTAAATCTTTTTAGTCGATCAATAATTTAAAAAGTCAAATGTCTTTTGTATATTTAAGCCCTTCAATAGTATCTGTTGATTCATTTTTTTTCCGTTAAAATTGTTAATCAATTTAGACCAAAACCTTAATTGAAAATATACTTTAAAGTTCAAGAACTTGATTACTTCAATTAATAGTTCAGGGACCAAATGAAAATCAGGTACAAACTTTAGGCGTACAAAGTATAATTTACCCTCGTTTTTCTCGTTGCCTTTGTCCGTCCAATTCACATGTTCCAGAAAAATAGTATTGGCGGTCTCCTGTTTTTGACCTTTGTTGCTATCGTTCCAGAAAAAACCCCAACTGATCTTCTGCTCAAAACCCTAATTGTATCAATCCAGAAAAATCCCAATAAACTTCAACAGCTGAGTCGAACACCAAGTCGTTTCTTCAGAAACCATCAATCGTATCATATTTAATGGAGCTGGCCTCTGCTTCATTCAATGCATACTGTACAGTTTCACTCAGACCGTCACCCACAACTACTACTAGAGACCACTCTCCGTCCTTCTCTCTTACCAGGAACTCATCTTGTTGCACATCTTCACACGGTAGCAGAATCTTATTATGACAATCCACAAGAACAAAATGGTGAGACTATATGTTCTCCATTTTCTGTTACCTTCGTTTGTTCATAGTGTTTCCTCGTTAGTCTTTCCTGGCCATTACTAAGTGTTGTCACTACTTATAGGAATTATTTCAGATTGATGTCATATTAACCAAATTCATTTTGTGCTACAGACTATTGACATTTGTTGTATACCAAAAAGTATATGCAATGTATGATTATCAAGTCAAGAAATCATGAAGAAAACGGGTCTTTAGTTTCTATGATGCTGCTCCTTTACACTTATATGCTATTTTTAAGGACTAGGAGACGTGTCTGGATCACAGAGAACTTGATCTGAACTTGCGCAATGCCACTCTATTTAGATACCATTAAGGTTCTTTTTCTTTCGAAGAAGGCAGATCGAGGATTTGCTGTTTATGTTGTGACTCGTTAAATGCCCAATAATTATTCAGTATCTGGGTGATATATATTCGTGCTAGCAATTTTCTATAGCCTAAGAAACTTCCTTTCCTAAAGTTGGATTACCGACTGGCTTGAATCTTAATAGTGTTGGGAAAATAGGCTTTCCCACAAGTGTAAATCAATGGAAGCAATATAAATAAAATAACAGAAAATAAATAAGCACACAAGATTTACGTGGTTCCCTCAAATAACTTGAGGTACATCCACGACGACCGGTAAGTCAGTTTCTTCCACTATCACCAAATCAGATTACAAAGTGGCCAAAAGGCATAAGCCTTACAAACACACCAAGGTGTAAATCACAAGAGGAAAATACCTCACAAAATAAGTGAACCAAATCTCCAAGAACAAACCGCAAGAAACCCAAATATCAAGTGAAGAAATATTATCCACTTGAAGAACAAATTTGCAGATTTTTTTGTCACCAAAAAAGGAGAAGAAGAAGGCTGAATTTTTGTTGAACCAAAGACTACCGAAAAATATGTCTTCTTGCCAAACCAACAGAGAAGAGAAGAACTAAGAAAGGACAAAACTTATAGTTTTTTGGTGGCTGCCAAATTCCTTTTTAACTTGAAGACTCCAAACCAAGTCTTGGATAAGAGTCCTACACGGGTAAGCCACAAAAAAATTAGCAAATTGATGAGTCCCACAAAGGAGGGAAACCCAACAATTCTCCCCCTCCCGACTTATGTGGAGGATTCGACCATTCCCGCCAAAAGTCGACACTTCTCATGCTTGTCCTTAGTCAATGCCTTAGTTAACATATCCGAAGTGTTATCATCAGTGTGAATTTTTTCAAGTTGTAACAACTTATCATTCAAGACATCACGAATCCAATGATATCTAACATCAATATGTTTCGATCTCGAATGAAATGAAGAATTCTTGCTCAAGTGGATTGCACTCTGACTATCACAATGAAGGACATACCTTTCTTGTTTCAAACCCAACTCTTGTAAGAATTCCTTCAACCACAATAATTCTTTGCAAGCTTCAGTGATGGCGATGAACTCAGCTTCTGTGGTGGAGAGAGCAACACATTTCTGTAATCTTGATTGCCATGCCACTGCTCCCCCTGCAAAAGTAATCAAATAACCAGAAGTAGATTTTCGACTATCAACATCACCAGCCATATCAGAATCTGTGAACCCATCAAGAATAGGCTCGCCTTTACCAAAACACAAACTCATCTTTGAAGTGCCCTGAAGATACCTCATAATCCATTTCACTGCTGCCCAGTGTTCTTTCCCTGGATTAGACAAAAATCGACTGACAACCCCAACTGCGTGAGCAATATCCGGTCGAGTACAAACCATGGCGTACATCAAAGAACCAACTGCTGAAGCATAGGAAATTTTCTGCATCTCATTTTTCTTTTCATCACTTGTAGGACACTGACTTGAGCTTAGTTTGAAGTGGCCTGCAAGTGGACAATTAACAGGCTTTGCTTTGTCCATATTGAACCTCTCAAGAACCTTTTTAATATAATTCTCTTGAGATAACCAAATCAGCCCATGTGATCTGTCACGAACAATTCTCATCCCAAGAATTTGCTTTGCTGGACCCAAATCCTTCATGGCAAAGGACTTACTCAACTCTGACTTCAACTTGCTAATCTTACTCGTGTCTTGGCCCACAATAAGCATATCATCAACGTAAAACAAGAGAATAATAAAATTACCATCTTTATATTTCTTCACAAACACACAATGGTCTGAAGTGGTTCTTGAATACCCATTCTCACTCATGAAAGCATCGAATTTTCTGTACCACTGCCTCGGTGCTTGCTTCAATCCATACAAGCTCTTCTTCAATTTGCAAACTAACTGATCATTACCCTTATCTTTGAAGCCCTCAGGTTGCTCCATATAAATTTCCTCTTCTAAGTCACCATGCAAAAATGCGGTCTTCACATCAAGCTGCTCAACTTCTAAATTCATACTCGCAGCTATACCAAGCACAGTTCGAATGGAGGACATCTTCACAACTGGTGAGAAGATCTCATCAAAATCAACTCCCTTTCTCTGATCAAAACCTTTCACGACAAGTCGTGCCTTGAATCTCGGTTGAGAACTGTTCCCATCATTCTTTCGTCTGAAGACCCATTTATTTTTCAAAATTTTCTTCCCTTTAGGCGGCTTCACCAAATCATAGGTGTGATTCTCATGCAAAGACTTCATTTCCTCTTTCATTGCCTTGAACCATTCAGTTTTGTTCTCATGCTTCAAGACTTCTTGATAAGTCCCTGGCTCCCCCTGATCTGATATCATCACATACTCATTTGAAGAATATTTTCTGGATGACTGTTTTTCTCTAGTAGATCTCCTTAACGGTGTCTGTGGTAGTGGCTCTTGGGGTGGTTGCTCCCCCTCAATCTCTGGCTCAACATCATCTTCTGCTGCATCATCATGAGGTGTTTGCACTTCCTCATCAATATCATGAACAGCAGAGGGATTGAGAGGATCTAAATCAACAAGATCATCAGTACTAGACTCAGCTGACTCAAGCTTGTCGATGTCTTCAATAGTCTGATCTTCCAAGAAAACAACATCTCGGCTTCTGACAACTTTCTTGTCAACTGTATCATACAACCTGTATCCAAATTCTTCATGCCCATAGCCAAGAAATATGCATTGCTTTGCTTTTGGATCAAGCTTGGACCTTTCATCTTTTGGAATATGAACAAAAGCTCTGCAGCCGAATACCCTCAAGTGATCATAGGAGACTTCCTTCCCTGTCCAAACTTTCTCTGGCACATCACCATTCAACGGAACTGAAGGAGACAAATTGATAAGATCAACTGCGGTCCTCATTGCCTCACCCCAAAAGGATCTTGGCAATTTAGAATGTGAGAGCAAACATCTGACTCTCTCAAGAATGGTGCGATTCATTCTCTCTGCAACCCCGTTCTGTTGAGGTGTCTTTTTAACTGTCTTTTCATGCCTGATACCATGATTTGTGCAATACTGATCAAATGGTCCAATATATTCACCACCATTATCCGAGCGAACACATTTCAACTGTCTACCTGTTTCTCTTTCAACCTTGGCATGAAAAATCTTAAACACATCTAGAACTTGATCTTTAGTTTTTAGTGTATAAGCCCAAACTTTTCTAGAGTGATCATCAATAAAAGTGACAAAGTATAGAGCACCACCAAGTGTCCTAACTTTCAAAGGACCACATACATCAGAATGTACCAAATCTAAAACATGAGATTTTCTAGATGCAATGTTTCTACGGAATGATATTCTGTTTTGTTTACCATGGAAACAATGAACACAAGTTTTCAAAGGCGTACCTTTTATTCCCACTAGAAGCTCTTTCTTGGACAAAACTTGCAATCCTTTTTCACTCATATGTCCAAGCCTTCTATGCCATAAATCAGTGGATGAGTCATTCTCTAAGGTATTCACAACACCCTTGCAGATTTTTGCTTGCATAGTGTAAAGAGAACAAGTCTTCTTTCCTTTTGCTACCACTAGAGAACCTTTGGAGAGCTTCCATTTTCCATTACTGAAATTGTTGATGTAGCCTTCATCATCTAACTTTCCAGCAGAGATTAAATTGAGTCGAATATCTGGTACATGCCTCACATCTCTAAGCAGCAATTTGCATCCAATATTTGTTTCCAAGCAAATGTCACCCATGCCGACAATTTTTGACACATCTTCATTTCCCATACGGACATTCCCAAAATCACCTTGTGAGTAAGAAGTAAAGAAATCAGCCCGCGAAGTAACATGAAATGAAGCTCCAGAATCAATTACCCAATCCGTCTCTTGGCCAATCAAATTAACGCTAGCATCATCACGGATAATCATGAATTCATCATCGGTAACTACAGCTGTATCAATTTGCTTTTTCTCTGAATTTTTCTCTTTGTTCTGCTCCTTGAACTTGAGTTTTCTACATTCCCGCTTCATGTGCCCTTTCTTGTGACAATAATAGCATTCAACATCCTTTTTTGACATCGAGCTTGAACGACCTCTAGATTTATCACGGTTGTGCGGAACCCTACTCTTACTCCTGCCTCTCCCCCGGTTTTCCATTACAAGTGCCTCGGAGTAAGAAGAACCTGATGATTTTCTTCTTGTTTCTTCATTCAACAAACTGCTGGTAACTTGACTCATTGTTACCACTCCATCAGGTGCGGAGTTACTAACTGTGACCACCAAAGTTTCCCAGCTTTCGGGAAGTGAACTAAGAAGTAACAAAGCTTGCAACTCATCATCAAAAGTAATTTTCATGGCGGCCAACTGATTCACAATGCTCTTAATCTCATTCAAATGCTCTGCAATAGAAGTACCCTCCTTATATTTAGAGTTCACAAGCTTTCGAAATAAAAAGGCTTTATTCACTGCCGTCTTTCTATCATACAAACTCTCCAATTTGGTCCAAAGACCATGTGCAGATTTTTCTGTAGAGACATGATGAAAGACACTATCATCAATCCATTGCCGAATAAAACCGACAGCTTTCCGGTCTAGCTTTTTCCACTCGTCATCTTTCATCCCTTCCGGTTTGCCACTATCACCCTCTATGGGTCCATTCAAATCTTTACAAAATAAAAGATCTTCCAAGTCACCCAATTTGTGCCATTGAAACTAACCATACGTCCAACGTTGCCGTCCATAATTCACACACAGAAATATAACGAATCGGAACCGAATTAACCAATTGCTCTGATACCAGATGTTGGGAAAATAGGCTTTCCCACAAGTGTAAATCAATGGAAGCAATATAAATAAAATAACAGAAAATAAATAAGCACACAAGATTTACGTGGTTCCCTCAAATAACTTGAGGTACATCCACGACGACCGGTAGGTCAGTTTCTTCCACTATCACCAAATCAGATTACAAAGTGGCCAAAAGGCATAAGCCTTACAAACACACCAAGGTGTAAATCACAAGAGGAAAATACCTCACAAAATAAGTGAACCAAATCTCCAAGAACAAACCGCAAGAAACCCAAATATCAAGTGAAGAAATATTACCCACTTGAAGAACAAATTTGCAGATTTTTCTGTCACCAAAAAAGGAGAAGAAGAAGGCTGAATTTTTGTTGAACCAAAGACTGCTGAAAAATATGTCTTCTTGCCAAACCAACAGAGAAGAGAAGAACTAAGAAAGGACAAAACTTATAGTCTTTTGGTGGCTGCCAAATTCCTTTTTAACTTGAAGACTCCAAACCAAGTCTTGGATAAGAGTCCTACACGGGTAAGCCACCAAAAAATTAGCAAATTGACGAGTCCCACAAAGGAGGGAAACCCAACAAATAGAAGCAATTACTTGAATTATTAGATGTGTATTTAACATTGTTCAGTGAAATCTTTTTGATTGCAAAATGACTAGTAAAGTAAAAAAGGTTAAGAGAATGAGATCATGCTCATTTAAAATTATGTCCTTGTATCAGTAATCCTCAATCTCAAAACCTACCTTATTTCTTAATTGATAAATTGTATTCCCTTCGTTCCTAAATATCTGTCGTTTAAGGTTTTTGCACAGGAATTAAGGAAGCGCAATTAAATAACTCTAATATTAGTAAAAAAAAATTGCACAAGGTTAAAATACCCTTATTCAATACGTATTGGGAAGAAAAGGAATATGAAAGGTACTTAGCCTCCACCTAATCTAATGCATTGAAAAGTTAAGGGTAAATTTGGAAGAAAAAATATTGGTTATACTTTGGTTTCATTAAACGACAGATATTATGGAACAAAAAAAATTGTGTAAAACGAGAGATATTTAGGAATGGAGGGAGTAATTATTTTTGTTGAAAGAACTGAAGTTTGAAATCTTGTTACTTTTTTGACCACAACTGTTGATACATCAGTCAGGCTGATAGGTTTTGGCTCTGATGCTTTGTCTAGGCAGTTGCTCAACTAACATATTGTGGACATCAAGTCATATGTATTATTAGGATTTCCATCATCAGTAATACTTTCTGAATTTGCCATGTGCTTTTGTGTATGAGAAAACAGGAGAAAATGCTGAAAAAAAATCTAGTATGATGGAACCCTGAAATAAATTGTCGGTCTGAGATCATGTTATTGTTTCTAGTGCATACGTCTCAGTTAGCGGCAACATTGCAGCAGGAGATGCTTGGTTAATAGTTGGCCTAGATATTGCACAGCCTACATTTGACAGCCGGGGCCCAGTGCCACTCTGATTGTGAAATATGAAATGGATATCGAGTCTGGTAGATATTGAGTCGGTTTATTATTATTTTTTAGTTGTTCTCTAATAAGAACACAGGACCGGTCCACTGAAGCTGTTCCATGGAAAGCTCCCTTTACTTACTCTTCTGGAACTGTGGAAAATACTTATAACCTTATTAGAATTTAATAGTTAGGTGAGCCGACAGTTACAGTTCTTTGTTAATGCTAAGAAATAGAAATACTAGAATTGTACTAGTGATAGAATTGTGTAGGGTTCAGTTAGATCAGCATTAATAACCTTATTCTTATGCCTAAAAAATGGACAGCATATAATTTAGTCCATTTTGTACATGGTCAGCATTGTTGTGAACAATATTGATACCAGATCTCTTTCTGTATGAGATGATTAGATGTGGCAAAGCTTGGGAATATGTGCTTGGCTTCTGTACAAGCTTATGATACTGCAACTGAAAGTATTGAAGCACTGAATGCTGCAGAGTTGAAATTTCTGATTCAGCACTGGTGCTCATGATAACAAAAGCTTGGTCAGCTGCCAAGGAGTCAAACATGGCCAAAGACGAGGTAAGGTGACTCCTGCTTTTTAAATGCTCATCTTTATGCATTTTTAATACATCTGGTGTATGTATTTGTCTAGTTTGGCCTCGGGTTAGTTCTGGAAAAAATAGAGCCTGTGTGGTGCAGATTAATGATTTTTAAAACTAATATTTTATCTTGGGATGAAGTCAGCAAACATTTATCTATTTATTCACTTTTTTGTTGTCTGATAAGAGTTGCTCTAAGAACTTTTGCCAATGTTTTTAAAAGATGGAAAAAGTGAGTCAACAGCCATGACTGTGAATCCTACAGTTTTTATACATATGACAAAACCTATTTCTACTGATATCTTTGGTTTTTTTTTCTCCTTTTTTATGTTTTTTTGTTTTGGGTTTGGGTGGGGAGGAAGGACTTATTTCTATTGCCTTTAAAAGTAATGATTCATTTGTATAATGCATAAATGCTGCTTTGGTATAAGATCATTTATGATTTGGTTTTTGCAGGTAAACGATGTATTGTATCATTTGTGCATGACAGCAAAGGGTAATCTTCAGAGAAATATGCCTAAAGAGGTTAGGATACTCAAGTATCTTCTTACAATTGAAGATCCTGAAGAGAGAATGTGTGCCCTAAAAGATGCTTTCACCCCTGGAGAAGAACTTGAAGGGAAGGATGTAGACTGCCTATACACGTATGTATATGAAACTTGATTCATCTAATCATTTTTTTTGTGAGACTTTGTATAAATGCAAAAATGTTTAGAACAGAGACCAATTTCTCAAAGTTTGCGATGGTGAAATTATTTAGTGGGTTATTAGGCTTAATATGTGATACTTACCTTTATAAGAAAAATGAATTCTATACCCCTTGAATCCTTTGAAATGGTTTCCTTTCTCAGTGATTCATATTGCAGAATATGATCCATTCATGGATTGGCTAGGAATTCCCCTAGGATATTACTTCCAGCTTCTGGGATTGTATCGTTTGATTGTTTCTCTCTTTTCCTTTTAGACAGTTTTTTTAATTTGACAAGAGTTTGTTCATACTGACAGCACACCAGAACATCTGCACACCTGGATTAAAATGGTGCTGGATGCTTACCATTTCAGCAGAGAAGGCACTCTTATTAAGGAAGCTAGGGATTTGATGAACCCAAAAATCATCCAAAAACTGGAAGAGTTGAAGAAATTAGTCCAAGATAACTTCATGTAAGCACCAGTTACACTTATCAGAAGCTTTCTATGAGTAGTCTTGGTGTGCAAGTCTCAACTTCTTCCCATTGGGTTCTTAAGTCCATGAAGTAGACTGTAGAGCTGTGATTTGGTTGCACCCTTCACCCCTTGTGAGATATTGCTCAACAACTTCATAACTCTGTCCTGAAAGTTCATTAGCGACGATGACCTTAGAAATATTCACGGTGTATTTTGCTGGAAATCATGGAAACTAGAGTATAGTAGGTTAGGTCGTAATGATTTGGACTAGCCTCATTGGACAGAGAAGCATGATTTTCTAAGTCGATGATACTTCAGTTATGTTGAAATTATGTATCAATTTTGCTATATAATATGCCTTCCTTTTTGTCCCAGACCACATATAGTCATATAGATATGGATTGTTTAGTTATAGAAATTTAATGTATTTGGCAATGAACAACTCAGAAAGAACTCATTCCGTTTCTCTATTTTGTTCACTCCTGTGGTATTTTTGTTTCCTTTATATTTCACTGTGTGAGGGTGTGCTTTGATGCAATGGTAAGATTGGTAAAGTTGCATACATCTAATTTTCCTTAAACCCCACGATGGTAGAAGTCTTATGTACTAAATACACCTTTTTTTTTATATTCTAATGTGCTCTATTTTTTCCTCTTGCCAATCAAGAAAGTGGAAGACATGCACTCGCTAGTAGGAACCTTCTTAAAAGCTCTTGCAGTACATGAACAGCCGAGAGTAGGAAACTTCTTAGTAGATGCATATGTTGCTAGTACTTACCGAAGAAAGATATGTTGCTAGTGAGTAGGATAACCTCAACGTGGCTTTAAAATACGTTATATAAAATGTCAATAGCAAATACCATGTGAGATATCTTTTAATATATTTTTGATTTTTATTTATTTTGAAATGTGAATTCAAATGGAATGTGTTGTAATTAGTGTGTTTTTCACTAATACATAATAGATGATTAATCATCGAGAAAAAAAGTAATAGTAGGAATTTGAATCCAGTCCAGCAAGCACATTTTGCTGTTGCATAGGCAATGTACAATGATGATTGCAGCACTCCTCTGCCTCGTGCATTCATCCTCTAGGAGACCATCAATGAAAACAGTATGTTTTTACCTCTCAACAACTTGATAATAATCATCTCATTTTAATTCAACAAGTTGTGATTCATTTTACTGTCCCATTCACGAGCTACCTGCTTTGGCCAAGAATTCAAATCAAGGAAAATCTATTTTGTCATTACCTTGAGTAAATTTCAGCCCCCTCTGGGAACTTTTAGTTTTGTAGTACAGTAGAAGAATTATATACTAGCCTTTCCTGCCGCCACAGTGATTTTTATGAAAGATAATCGTATACTACATTATTTCTTTTCATTATCTAACCCTTTAAACAGACATGAGTAGCTTAATATGCAATAGACACTTCATTTTTCTAACCCTTTAGATGCACAAGATCTGCATTATGTGCAATAGACGATTCAATCGGGAGTTTTGAATATACAGTACCAGATTAAGTCTATCTGGTCATGGAATGGTGCACTGCATTTGAACAGAGATTACTTGGGAACAAAAAGTTCCCTGCTGAACGCATCAATCTACAAGTAATACTGGACATCATATCAATTTTCTTGATTAGAAAATAAACTTTATGTTCAAAAACTGCGATAAAGATCAAGACTGCCCAAAAACATAGAGTGAAATTTAATACTGCATATAAAAGAAAAGCCAATATAAATATGTATTTTCAATAAATGAAAATTAGACGGTAACGATAGTTTGGAACACAGGATTTCGGTGGTCAATATCTTGAGATCTCAAATTAAAGCCACGAAAGGGATGCCTGCTGGTTCTGCAGGTGGTTGCACGGATGATCCAAATTGAATGGGACATGATTGGAATGGTAAATGAGGTAAATAAGGAGGCCAAAGAGGCTGGACATAAGGGAATAAGTCGTAAAAACAGCTTGGATAACTGGTTCCATGGTAATGAACAACGTCTAGGAGTTTAGTCTCTAAATTGTAGCTGAAGATCACAATATCCAGTCGAAGATAGACAATCCGTGAATCTTGAGGATGGAAACCTGACATAAAAGGACGTTGTGGAAAACCAGGAGGAGGAGGTTGCTGACAGAAAAACTCCCCCAGTTTGACGCTTTTGGTGTCTGAAACCGGCAACAAAGAAGTCTTCAGGGTTCAAAGCATATGTTAAGACCCATTCGGTGCGAGGTATAATGCTGGAAAGACTATACTGCGATGTCTTCTTCTTCAAAACCCAGACCTCTATTCCATCAGGATCTGAGAGTGCACACTGCAACAACCCATCATGTGTCAGCCCTGCATAGCTCTAACCATCCCATTCAAACCAGTAGTCGGAAATCTCATCAACCATACATGATTTTTTCCCATTCCAGGATCGTAAGCCGCCACAGCATCTCCCTTGGCTCGCCAGTAAAAAATCCCTCCCATCACGTCGCACTTCTCGTATGGAATCAAAGAAAACTTGGATGGAAAAGAAAGCTGAGATGTTTTCCACTTGCCAGTTTGAGAAGAGAAGGTTTCAATCTGCAGCTTGTTATCTTCAATTTGTGGGAGTCTAATAGAAGCCCGAATGACTTTAAAACTCATCATGTCATCCTCTGAACACGAAAAGCCAACTGCCAGAGCTTTTACATCGCAAGCTCGGTTTAGGTAGTGATAACCACTGGTTCTTAATGGGATTGCAGACGAGATAAGCCTTATTGTGACGGCCACAAAGGATGAGACCTTGGGGAGAACTGGCAAGTGAAACACCAACCTTTTGGATGAAAGTGTAGCACTGTATTGCTCTTCCTTGTTGATCACAAGTGGAAAGGAATGCGAGCCTGGGTGGCGAAACCGGTAAATCTTCAAGGATGTCACGTCTTAAGCAGACAGGACCATGGAAGAATCCTACCAGCGGCAGTGAAGAATTGTTGTTTCGAGACACATAACTACGACGGAAACTAGAATCTGAAATTATATGGTTCCAAGTGCTTGACACACACTTCGACCTGAAAACTTCCTTCTGCGGCAGTCGAATGAAGATCTCGACTAGAAGGTCTCTGGTGAGGTAAAGAAGGTCGATATTTTGTTTGCACTGTAAAAGGTTTCTTAGGAAAAATTGATATGGGGCCTTTGGATATATATACATAGATAGAGGGAGGGGGAGAGAATTTCCTTTCCTTACCAAATCAGGTTTTGATTCTTGGAGAAGATTTCAAATTCTAAAAGGAAACTTACGCAATAACTAACCAAATCATATTGGACTCCTTTGGTTTTGGTATTGTAAAAGAATAATTCTGGATAAAATACAAGATAAAAATATTACGTATTGTAATCTAATATTTGATAAGACACTAGATTAATAGTGAAATAATAAAGTAGTAATTACATATTATCTAAAAAATCATCAATTTTTTTTGATGTATATATCATTTAGAATATTAGTCTTTGGTGTACAATTTCTTGTAATATATAATATAAAATATAATAGATTTCAATAAATTTATTTGACGGTCTAAAATATATTCATCTAACGGCCACTAACATTTCTTTCAAAACTATTCATATTGCACCTTATCTTCATGCTTACCCCAAATTAATATATATGCAAACTCATTACGTAATTGAGAAAGCAAGTTGAGAGGCAATAAAGTATCCTCTCCTTCTTCCTCTCATCTTGTCTGGTTTTTCACATTTTGCAATATAGAAAGTTCAATACAAGGGCGGTAAGGAAAGGCCATTGTAAAATAATCCGTTCTTCTCCTTTTTCACTTGCAAGTTTAGCACTTAGAAGTACAATAAGTGACGATACACAAATCTCTACATTTTATGAAATTTTAGAATTAATAAAACATATGAATATACTTAAAATTTTGGTTTGTGAATGCAAGAGTGATATATGTATTTTCAAGGGTCGATATAGAGACAAAAAATCACAAAACAAAACGCTGTCGTGCTAACTGCCACGCTCAAGCTGAGGTGGCCAACGACAAATTCCGGTGATCTTTTACTTTCAAGAAACTGAGTCAGGCCAAATGCACAAGACAGAAATAAGGGTGGGGTTATTTTCACCCTACAAATTTCTTTTCTCACCTTTATTAAATTCTAAATAATAATACTATTAAGTCTATTCTTTTTATATTCATCCCACTAGTAACTAAACTAACCACATTTTATACCTACCTAATAATAACTAAACTTTATACCGGCCTTCACCTTTAAAGTTTTTTTTACATCTCTACATCTCTATCTCACACAATTTATATGAAAGTATATTCAATTTTATTATCTCGTATAAACCTTTCAAGTGATATTCAAATTGGTATTTGTTCAAAGTTTAATTTATATCCTATCTCACACAGTTTATATGAAAATATATTCAACTTGATTATCTCGTATAAACCTCTCATGTGATATTCAAATTGGAATTTGTTCTAAGCTTATTTTATTTTGTTGTACACTTTTTTTTATTTATTGATATCAATAATTTTCATTTAAGGTTTGTATATAATATATAGAGAGTTAAATACATATGTATATATATACAAAACTATACAAACTTAACATACTTTTTTTAAGAGAAATTTGCAGTAGGCAATTGCAAAACATTTTCCTCCTCATAATCGAACGGTTGACATTGATACATATGCTTTTAGCTGATTTAAATCTTCTTTTTTTTTTGGCAAATGAACTGCAGGATCTTAAACATGAACAAAAACTAAAAAATTATGATTATTTTTTTCACTAATAATCATAATTAGATTAATTTACCAATTTAGCATGGCATAACTATGGATGTAACACAAAAATAATTGTTATAAATGATAAAAATTATTGTTTCTTTCATTTTGAACATATAACATGCAAATATTTAATTTTTTGGTGATAAGTGTAAATGTAATAAAATAATTCAGGCTTTTGACTTCTAGTAACATTATGTAACAACGTTAACAAAAGCCGTTTTGACTGAAATATTGTTCTATTTTTTTTTTTTGTTTTAATCTTTGAATGTAAAAAGTGTTATTCAATGCACTACCAGTTGCCTAACATAGTTGACAATGATTTTGACCGAAATCAAACAATTATCCTCTAAATATTGAATTTTACCTCATGATTGATCAAAATTAGATTAATTAGCGTAAGTACCATGTTAGTTATGTGTTATTATAATTTGTAGAGTTTATTGAAGTGGAAATTTCAGATTAAAATGAAATTAATTTTCAAAATAACGCTATAAGTTTAAACGAATTTGCTTAGTTAGATCCAATTTTTAAAATTATAGTAGGTATTATTGGTTGGGATTATAAAATCAATTTATTTATTTTCTGCCATATCTTTTCAATATTTTTTGGGTAGTAATGTCCTAAAATTTTGATCTTGTTGAAGAGGGATATTTTAAATAATATTTTATTTTCTTGATAATGTCCTCATTGATCTTAGAATTCTTTAACAATGAGTTAAAATAAGAAAGTTTGTGACAAGTTTTAAATGTCAAGAGGTTCTAATGTTATTTTTCAAATGTGAGGGGATACCCATATAATTTATGTCAACTATCATGGGTTCAAAAAATTAAATTACATCACACTCAAATATCCTTTTTATAATGTTATATATCTTAATTTAAATAATCTATAAAATTCTATTCAAAGGTATTTACTTTAATCTAAAAATAAATCACAACCTTGAAAAATATAAAGTCTAATTAATGTGCTTTGCATGCGGGCACCTATCTAGTTTTAATTAAAATTGCACAAGGTAAGTTTAGTCAATAATAAGGTAGGTTTAGAATGATGCGGAGTTGGTCATTAGTATGGTGGATATACTAGAAGTAGACTTAATAATTCTTAGGGGTAAGAAATGATATTTGTGGGGGTGAATTCCCCACCACCAAAACAAACATACCACTTGTTTAAATAGAACCTCTCCCTCCCTCCCTTCCGCTCTCTCTCTTTCTAAATTCCTCAAAGAAACTGTAAGCAAGAAACTCGAGCTTTACAGACTTGACAAATCCAGGTACATCTCTCGCATGTCTTCTTGATGTGCATTGTATATGCTTGACATAGTTTGGTCCACTTGTGTCGTTTCTAATTCTATACCACTTGTTTAAATAGAACCTCTCCCTCCCTTCCTCCTGCTCTCTCTTTTTCTGAATTCCTCAAGAAACCCAAACTTTACAGATTAGACAAATCTAGTTACATTTCTCGCATGTCTTCTTGACGTGCTTTGCATGCTTGACACGGTTTGGCCAATTTTTATCGTTTCTAATGCTATGTAAAACTTTTTTAGTCATATAGTCTTTATCATATCTATCTATTATCTCTATATCTATACATTTATGAATTATGAAGAAGAATAGAGAGTGAGAGAATCTAACATTTCTATATACAAGGCGAAGGCAAAAATCACAAAGAACAAACATAAGTAATAGTACAAATTTCCTCTACACAGAGATCTTAATAACTTTTTGAGACCATGATGGATCGTGGTGGTGATGAAGTCGGTTAGTTCTCAATTTCCGATCTGAGGACACAATCATCCTAGTATTGTCTTTATTGGAAATTGAAGCAGTAATGTTAGGGTTATCGATGCCCGAGCCGGAGTTGGTGGCATTGTTGTCGCTGGCGTGATCGGGACTTGCTGAGTTACGGGCCATTTCGATCTACATACAAGTTGATTTAGTGAGAGAGAAATCAAAGAGGAGAGAGAATGCAAATGGATTGGGAGAGAGTTTGGGTTGACGTGAATGAAATGCGAATGATTCTTGAATCTGTTTGTGTATGTGATTTATTTATATATGTGTGTGTGGCTTTCTTGAATCTGTTTGAATGTATTTGCATGTTTCTTGAATGAATCTGTTTGCGAGTGTGTGAAGTTTCTCAGGTTTGTTGGTTAGTGTGACAGTGATGAGGGGACGACACTTTGGTGAGTATGCTTTTTTTTCATGCGCCTCCATACGTAAGTTGAATTCACTCTCTAATTGGACTGTAGTTACACTTTACGGGTGATTATTTATGGAGTTTGCAATAATTTTGTACCTCAAATTATTCTAAATAATAATCTATGATTATTTAGATTTTAGATAATAATTTGTTTATTTTTTGTAGCTTGACAATGGTTATGGATAAATATTACAAAACCCGTCGTTGCATGTACCATCCTCATTGCCTATCAGGAGAAAATTGCTAAGTAAGAATTTTAATAATTAGTAATTTTTTTTGGTTATTATAATTAGTAAATTACAACAAAGATATTTATATTAATTAGTAAATTACAACAAAGATATTTATATTAATTAATTAATTAACATTGATTTATTTAACACAGTTTGCCCATGGGCAAAAGGAATTGCGAGGGGTCCTTCTCCTCCAAGCATGATGGAATACAAAACTAAACCATGTAAATACTAGAATGGCCAGGAAGTATCTTGCCTTCACGGAGTTAGATGTTGGGTAAATCTATTTTCTTCTCTCTCTTTTTTTTTTTTTTTGTTATTTTCATTACTTTTTTGTAAAACATTTTTAAATTTTGCAGTATTTACACGGAGAGATGATGGGCAGTAACTGTTGATTTTTTATAAAAAGAAATATATGTTACTATTTGGATGGCAATGGTTGCAGCTGTCCCATGGGGATCACAGTAGTAACCACTCCGTTAAGAGATTGCAATGGATTCATTCTAAAGCTAGGAAGCTTTGGTGAGGAAAGGAGGTTAGAGTGGAGAGGAAGATGGGGATGGGAATTTAGTGGGGGAGAAGAAGCAAGGAAAGGGATTGAGAGCTTCCATCGCCGATCCCTACTGTTTTCTGATTTCCGCGCTATTAAGTTGATGATCTTGTTAAGAAAGACAAATTCCAAATTTCGAAAATTACTTTCTTAGAATAGCGAAAAATAAATTTTCACTAGCCCAAGAATTACAATCGAAATTGAAGAAGAACGAAGAAATTAGAATATAACTCCAAAAATGAGGGAAGAAAAAAGCCTTTATTAATATGGAGAAATATAAGTTATAAATTTACAATCAAAAACTTACAAAAGAGAAAGTAGGAACAAACTTGCAATGGTAATTGTTGTTGGTGATTTGGGGTGGGGGGGGTCTATTTATAGGTGACTAGAGAGGGGTCTAAAAGTCCAAGGTAGGTGGAGATTTAGAATGTTCAAGAATTTTAACTTAGTGGTGAGAAGGTGAAGGTTTTAGATGTTGGTAGAAGGATACATAGTGCAAGCATGTTCTACAAGGTTCTAGATACAATAATTACCAAAAGTTTACTATAAACTTTTAACATTCCCCCTTAAAGTGAACTTTTGGAAATAAGTCCAAGCTCTGCATGAAGATTCTCGAATGGTCCCTTAGAGAGAGACTTTGTGAAAATATCTGCAATTTTATTCTTGTTCTGCACCACCGATACTTCAATTGTTCCATCAAGCACCTTTTCATGAATGAAATAATGCTCGATCTCAATATGTTTTGTTCTTGCGTGACACACCGGATTATTAGCCAACTATATAGCACTTTGATTGTCACTAAGAAGTTTTGTAGGTTTATGAATAGGTGAAAACACATCCCCAACCAGCCAACAAAGCCAAGTGCATTCTTGAGTAGCAAGAGCGGAAGCCTTATACTCCACTTTGGTAGTAGAAAGCGAGGCCGAGTCTTGCTTTTTACTATACCAAGAGACACATGCCGAACCACAAGAAAACACATACCCAGAGGTAGATTTTCGATCATCCATATCATCTCCTAGATCCGCATTCGTGAACCCAAGTAGAAAAAATTCAACCCCTTTCTTATAAAGAAGTTTCATGTCATAAGTAGTATTCACATACTTCAATATCCGCTTTGCCGCATCAAGGTGAGATTTTCGTGGCTCTTGCATATAGCAACTAACAAGCCCAACGGAAAATGAAATATCTGGTCTTGTAATAGTCAAATAAATTAGACTGCCAACAAGAGCACGATAAGGTCGGGGATCCAACAAAAAATTACTTTCATCATGCCTAATTTTAAAGTTAGGCTCAAGAGGAGTGGAACAGTACTTGTTTTTAGTTATTCCAAACCTATCAACAAGCTTCTTGGCATAACCTTCCTGAGATAGAAAAATCTCATCCTTCACCTTTTTCACTTCCAAACCAAGAAAATGACTTAATTCTCCCAAATCTTTCATCTCAAATCAAATAAAGAGTTTAGCCCGAAGCTTTGCAACCTCTCGTTCATCATTGTCGGTAATAATCATATCATCCACTTATAGTAGAACAATCATGTGTAGTGATCCTTGCTTCTTTACAAATAAACTAGAATTTGAGTTAGAAGCAAAATAACCACAAAATTGTAAGTACTCGGCAATCTTATCGTACCACGCCCTTGGAGCTTGTTTAAGGCTATAGAGAGCCTTCTTGAGTTTGCACACATAATCTAGGTGAATTAGAGAGACATAACCAAGGGTTGCTCCATGTAGATTTCCTCATCAACCTTGTCATATAAGAAAGTA